CCACTCTTGACTATGAAACCTTCAAAGAATGCCAGGCCATCTATCAGATTCTTAGTCTCTTGTAAGGAATTTGTTTTTCTTTCTTTCTCTCCACCCCTTTCTTTTTTTTAAAGAGTTTTTAATGCTTTATTGAGATTAAAAAGAAATAACAAGCATAAAAGTTAATGGCAAAAAATAAGTGAAACAATTTGTTACATCATTTCGTTATACATTATTCTTAGATGTCTAAAGACTTTCCGTCACCACATTGTGTATTTACCACTTAATCTAGCACACTGTTAATCTTCATTTACTTTTTATTGATTTTAATCCATATTACTGTTTTTCATGATTATTCATCCTATCACAGAACTTACACAGAACTGCCACTGATGTCATATTGTCAAAATATTCAATAAGGTATTTTTTTATACATGTCCCATTTCCTAATAAATGCCTGGTCAGTATTACCTCTCAATTTGTCTGTCATTTTTGCCAACTCAGCGTACTCAGATAACTTCGTTTGCCACTCCAGCTTTGTTGAGATTTCCTCTCCTTTCCAATTAGTATTCTTGTGGCAACTGTAGCACACAAGTTTTGTTTTGTTGCATTTTTAGGTATATCTGGGCCAAGTATCCCCAGGAAAAAGCCTCCAGGTTTTTTTAAAAGAAGGATACCTTAAACATTCTTTTAAGCTCATTGTAAATAACACTCCAAAATCCCTTAATTTTGTTACACATCCACCACATGTGCAACATTCAGCCTTCCACCTCCGTACACCTCCAACATATATTTGAAATATTCTTACACATTTTTGATAATTTCAGTGGTTTCAGGTACCAACGAAATTGCATCTTCATAAAGTTTTCTTTTAGAGTGTAACATACGGTGAATTTCATATTAACCTTCCATAAATTTTCCCAGGCACTCATTGGAATTTGTAGCCAAAGTCTTGGGCCCATTTGATCATTACAGATTTAACCTCCTCCTCCTTGACTTCCCAGTCAAGGAGGAGTCGGTACATTTTTTTCAACCCCCCCCCCCTCAATTGCCAGGTGATATTAATGCCTAACAATATCTGCTCAAAAGTAAGTCCCATTGATTTCAGTGATAGGGAGGAGTGCAAAATATTTCCTTCCAAAAAATTCAGATCAGTCTTAAGATTTTTCTCCTCCAAGTGCCATTCCCCTTTCATCATTTTTTAAACGAGAGAGAGAGAGAGTGAGTGTATATCTATATTAAATTTTCTGTTTTACAATTTAAAATATTCATTTAACCAACCTTAAAACATCAATGACTTCCCTTCTTCTCCTTCTATGGTTCATTTTGCATAACATAAATCCCTGCATATTTTAAATAAGCCAAGCCATTCAGTATTCCATTATTACATCCATCAAAACTTATTTACACTGTTGAATTTATCTCAGTGCTGCCAACTTTTTCAGGTGTACACAATTCCCCCCCATATATTCAATAAACATTTTCTAATCTTCTTTAAATTTATGTTCTTCTTTCTCTCTAATTCTGTATGTTAGATCCGCAAGCTGATTTTCCATCGGTTTAAGTTGCCATTCTTTTTCAGTTGGGACCTCACTCGTTTTCCATTTTGGGGCTAACAATTTCTTTAGCTTAAATGAAGGTTTTAACATCTAAAAGGATCAAAGACTGTTGATGAATCTCCAATGTCTGATGAAGTCAGTTCTGTAGGAATGAAGCAGATTTTCTAGGATCCAGCTCGAAAATAGAGATCAGTCTGCCAAGTGAGATTGCTTCCAGCTGTCCTGCTCATTGAATATTCATCCAGATTGGTTTGCACAAATTTTGCAGGAAAGTTAGATGATGCCGACTAGGCATTTTTCACCATTTCAAATATATTTTCCCCTTGCGGTGTGATAGCAGCTCAATATATCTGAATACATGCTATAATAGCGAGTCTGGAAGCACCCAAAAATGTGAGGTTGTGTTCACAGTGGTGTGCTGTCCTCTCCTATCTCAACCCTACTTTTTAAAGCAGTGCTTAAAAGAGAGGCAGTGTTATTGGACACAGCCTACCGAACCTGGAAATCTTAAGACTCCCAGTGCAATTGTATACCTACTCTGTAGTAAGTCCTATCGAGTTTAACAATAAATGAGCGTAGGTCTGCAGCCTAAGGGGCAGAGCTGATACAATGGATTTAATTGTTTTATGCTGCTCTGATTTTGTGAAGTGCCTCGGAAGACTGTGCTCTGAAAGAGGGGCTAAAAATATAACAATGTATGAGTGAATAAAAGCTGCCGCACAGGTGAGCCATTCTAGGAAAGGCTTGGTGCTTTGTTATTGCTGTTTTCATTGTTTTCGTTTTAATCTGTTTGTGGGATGCTTTTGTGTCTTTTATACTCTATGCCTTTCGATTAAAATTCCTAAAAAACAGAAATGAATGTTTCACAGTGTATCTCCCTGATGTATAACTTTCTTTCTTTCTGATAATAATTTTTATTAATTTTCCAATAATAGCCTCATTATAACAATGCCAAATTATAATACCATTCCAAATACCAAATTATATAATTTAGGTGACCCCCGCGTGCTAGAATTGATGGCTTGGTGATATACTTTGTTTCTGTGTTCCAAAATCTTATTGATTTCAATGACATTCCCGTCATAATAGTAATCCCTTATACAACAGCTGGAATAGTTATAACTTCTATTTGTGTTGACACGTTAAGTAATTTATAAGACTACAAGTGAATAGCTCATACTGTATCGTTGTTCTTCCTGTATGTGACATTTATCCTGCCCATGATGTTTCTTCCTGCCCTTGTAAAGTGGTACCTTGGGTTAAGTACTTAATTCGTTCCGGAGGTCTGTTCTTAACCTGAAACTGTTCTTAACCTGAAGCACCACTTTAGCTAATGGGGCCTCCCACTGCTGCTGCGCTGCCGGAGCACGATTTCTGTTCTCATTCTGAAGCAAAGTTCTTAACCTGAAGCACTATTTCTGGGTTAGCGGAGTCTGTAACCTGAAGCGTATGTAACCTGAAGCATATGTAACCTGAGGTACCACTGTATGTCAATCTTTCCCCGGTTGTTGCTGCAATCCGTCATGCCTTGAGCGGAGCTGATAATCCCAATATTTTTCTAAAAATGTCTCCCTCACTCAGTCCCATCCTCTTTGTTTTTGCAACTTTAACAATACAGTGGTACCTCTGGTTACGAACTTAATTCGTTCCAGAGGTCCATTCTTAACCTGAAACTATCCTTAACTTGAGGTAACACTTTAGCTAATGGGGTCTTGTGCTGCCGCTGCGCCGCCGTCGTGCAGTTTCTGTTCTCATCCTGAGGTAAAGTTCTTAACCCGAGGTACTACTTCTGGGTTAGCAGAGTCTGTAACCTGAAGTGTTTGTAACCCAAGGTACTACTGTAGCTGCAAAAATAACTCTATCACATTCAGGCTGCGGGTGGTGCTGTGGGTTAAACCACAAAGCCTAGGACTTGCCGATCAGAAGGTCGGCGGTGCGAATCCCCGCGATGGGGTGAGCTCCCGTTGCTCAGTCCCTGCTCCTGCCAACCTAGCAGTTCGAAAGCACGTCAAAGTGCAAGTAGATAAATAGGTACTGCTCCAGCGGGAAGGTAAACGGCGTTTCCGTGCGCTGCTCTGGTTCGCCAGAAGCGGCTTAGTCATGCTGGCCACATGACTTGGAAGCTGTACGCCGGCTCCCTTGGCCAATAAAGCGAGATGAGCGCCACAACCCCAGAGTCAGCCATGACTGAACCTAATGGTCAGGGGTCACTTTACCTTTACCTAGCAATATAAAAGTAGATGTATAACTTTAATTGCAGGCTCGTTCCAAAGAACTACCAGCATGTTCTGGCCTTGGTGTTTGCTGTCAATGAGATCAATGAGAACCTTCAGATATTGCCCAATGTCACATTAGGATTCCACATCCATGACAGCTACTTCAGTGAAAGGATGACCTACTGGGCCACTCTGGACATACTCTCCACACCCTATAGATTTGTACCCAACTACCAGTGTGGCATACAGAAAAATCTGATGGCAATCATTGGGGGACTTGACTTTGAAACTTCCCTCCACATGGCAGCCATCTTAACAGGGTACAAGATTCCCCAGGTAAGAAACAAACATGGTGGCTTCATAACTCATCCTTACTTATATGTTCTCCTGAGAAAGTTTCATATTTCAGAAGGATATAAGCCCAGCTGACAATTTCAAATTGCATTCAGTGATGAACTTGAGGAGGAGGAGAGATTGCATTATAAATGCCTTATTGATTTGTTAATCATGTAATATAAGTTATGCTGTAATTGTGATGTTTAGTTATTTTTTAGTTGCTTATTTGTTAATATTGTGATTGTAATAATAATAATAATAATAATAATAATAATAATAATAATACTTTTATTATTTATACCCTGCTCATCTGGCTGGGTTTCCCCAGCCACTCTGAGCAGGTTACAGCATATAGATGTCTTCTAAAAGTTACATTTACCTCTAAAGTTTTATAGTTCTTTATCTCCTTGACATCTGAAGGGAGGGCATTCCACAGGGAGGCTCCACTACCAAGAAGGCCTTCTGCCTTGTTCCCTGTAACTTCATTTCTCGCAGTGAGGGAATCATCAGAAGACCCTCGGAGGAGGACCTCAGTGTCTAGGCTGAATGATGGGGGTGGAGATGCTCCTTCAGGTATACAGGGTCAAGGCCATTTAGGGCTTTAAAGGTCAGCACCAACACCTTGAATTGTGCTCGGAAACATACTGGGAACCAGTGAAGATCTTTCAGGACCAGTGTTATATGGTCTCGGTGGCCACTCCCAGCCACCAGTCTTGCTGCCACATTCTGGATTAGTTGTAGTTTCTGAGTCATCTTCAAAGGTAGCCCCACACAGAGTGCATTGCAGTAGTCCAAGCGGGAGATTATCGATGATTTCTTAATTATATTATTTATGCTGTACTTGTGATGTTCTATTTTGTTATTTTTATTTATTGCTTGTAAGTTGCTTTGGGATTCATTTGAATGGAAAACAGCATAGAAATACAATAAATACAAATTAATCTTCCACTTAACATCTAAGTGTGTATCAGAAGATATGACTGGAGTTTTATGCACAGCAAACTGTCTACACATTGTGTATGTATGCAAAATAGCTTGTATGCCAATCATATATGGAGTGAAACAAAGTTCAGGGGTGCAGATTGCTTATCAGTTCCTTTACTTTCTTTGACCTGGACAGTGTGGGCCTTGTAGGAGAGGTGGGTCCCAAACACAAGTAGCTGGTCATTGCTTTCTAAACAGGATCAATTACGGTATTCAACTACTTTTATATTAAAAAAACCTATTTATTTCCTTGTTTTGTCATTGCTATCCACATATAATCAATGTTTCTACTGCATTACTGTAATGGGAAATAAGTATCCATTTCCTTCTAGCTCACTTATGGCTCCTTTGCCCCAGAGGATGCTGGTCAAAGCCAATCCACTCCCTTCTACCGGATAGTGCCCAATGAAGCCCATCAGTACACTGGGATTGTTGAGTTACTTCTGCACTTTGAATGGACGTGGGTTGGGTTGCTCACTGCGGATAGTGAGAGTGGAGAGAAGTTTATGGAAATCCTGCAAACTCTGCTTTTCCAGAGAGGCATTTGCTTGGCCTTTGCAGAGAGAACTCCAAAAGGCTCATATTTTGAAGAGTATTACAACATGCTTTCCCAGTGGCTCCAAACCTATTACATTATTGCGGAAAGCAAAGCCAATGCTGTTGTTGTCTATGGAGAAGACAAGTCCTTGTTTTTTTTGCAAATATGGCTAGTGGCAGGGGGTGCAGAAAACATGACATCTATGGAGAAGGTATGGATTATGACTGCTCAACTGGATTTCTCAGCAGTGGCCTTTCGAATGAGCCAAGATATGCAACCATTTCATGGCTCCATATGCTTCACAGTGCACTCAAATGAGGTGCAAGGATTCAAGACCCTTCTTTGCTCCCTCAATCCTTTCATGGCAGGTGAAGATGGTTTTCTTCAGCAGTTCTGGCAAGAGACGTTCCATTGTTTCTTTTCAAAATCCAGTACTGATTTCAGTGAACCCTGCACTGGACAGGAGAAGCTGGAGAGCCTCCCCTCGTCTGGCTTTGAGATGAGCATGACTGGCCACAGCTACAGCGTCTACAATGCTGTCTATGTTGTGGCACATGCCCTACATGATGCCATGTATAGATCCAGGGCAAAAGACAGAGGAATTGTGAGAAGATGGAGACCGCAGCTTCAGAAATTCCAGCCTTGGCAGGTAATGGCTCTTTTTTAAAAAAAATATTATTTCATTTTATATTGTTGATAAAGCAAAGACAACAATTTTAATAACAGACAATAATTGAAAGAAGAACAACCAAACTGTAAAATAGGCAGGAAGGATGTGTAGTTGCACGTGAGTTAAATAAATACTTTAAAGTCCAAATTAAGTCCAATTGTATCAGATCACCAAGCATAGTTCCAGATTTGCCAGGTTTTGGGCGAGGGGGTTGTTTTGAAAACGTTGGTTCTGCTGTATATGCCAAATCATATAAAACGTGTCTAGTCCTTATCAAAATCTCAAATCATTTGTGATTATCTTTGTTATAGCTATATTCCAGAGTGAGTGGTACAAAATGTCCAGCATCAGATTTTTGGGCTGTGTTCTATTGAGTTGCAATTACTATGAATGCTGCCAGTTTAATCTTGCCAATTTTTTTGGCAACGTATTTATAATGGTATCATCAGAAATACACAGTGACATTCATTTTGGACAACCAACCATCTTTTTATAGTAATTATCATTTCTGAGAAAATCGGATACAACCCACTCACCTGAGCTTCAGCTCTTCAAAACAGCTAGGTGTGATATTGTCAATGGCAATTTGTATCTAAAACTAGAGTCTTAACAGGAACATCTTTTTTGCCTGTTTCTCCCTCAGTCTAACTCTCTCCCCATTTTCCTGTTCTTTCATTTATACCCTTTCTGCATTGAACTTCATGGATGTTTGCATGATGATTTCAAGCTTTGAAATACATATACAGTGTGGCGTAGTCCTATACGGAGGAATTTACAGAGGAAAGAGAGACCAAAATTTACTGTTATTATTGCAATAGTTATTATTTTGTGATTATATGAAATCTTGTCTACTATCTTGGAAGAGGCAATGGCACCTTAAAAGGTGATGCTGAACATAAGATAAGTTTGAGTTTTAAACAATTGTCCTCTTCCTGCCATCTTGATGCAGCTCCACCCATTTCTTAGGAGTGTCTCATTTAACAACAGTGCGGGAGAAGAAGTGTCTTTTAGTGAGAACAGGGAATTAGAAGCTGGATTCGATATTACCAACTTGGTCACTTTCCCAAATAACTCCTTCATCAGAATGAAGGTTGGATGGATGAATTTGGATGCTCCCCCAGGAAAAGAGTTTTCCATCAATGAAGACAAAATGGTGTGGCACAGGAGTTTTCACCAGGTGGGGCATGATTTCAGGAAATTGCAACTCCAGTGTGTCCTAAATGAGATGCTTGCATCTTGGAAGCCTAGCGGAGACATGGATCCTGTATTTTTTCTCTCTTGTTGTTTATGAAAACCTCTATGAATGTTGTGGGGCTCTGATGCCTTGAAGCAGGCCAGGACAGAGATCATTATTATATGCTTGTTTGTTTATTGCATTTTTAGTCCACCTTTCCTTTGCTTACTTCCCATTTTATCCTAACAACCAACAACCCTGTAAGGTAGTGACTGGCCCAAGGTCACCCAATGAGTTTCATGGCCAAGTGGGGATTTGAATCCTGGTCTTCCACTTCCCTGTCTAGCACATTCTTTAAAGATTTCTAGGCCAGCAGAGTGTGACCTAAGCCTAAACTCCAACCAACTTCAACTCCAGCTGAGCCTGGAGACAGACGAGGCAGACTTCTGCAGAGAATGCCTGGTTTGGAGGCTACTAATTCTCAAGATATAGTAGCAGAAGTCTGGTAGAGCCCAGCAATATCCTTGTTTTTGAGGCTGCTTAAGTTGTGGAATGTGCGTGGCGCTGTGGTCTAAACCACAGAGCCTAGGGTTGCCTGATCAGAAGGTTGGCGGTTCGAATCCCAATGACAGGGTGAGCTCCTGTTGCTCGGTCCCTGCTCCTGCCAACCTAGCAGTTCAAAAGCATGTCAAAGTGCAAGTAGATAAAGAGGGAAGGTAAACAGCGTTTCCATGCGCTGCTCTGGTTTGCCAGAAGCGGCTTAGTCATGCTGGCCACATGACCCAGAAGCTGTACACCAGCTCCCTCGGCCAATAAAGTGAGATGAGCGCCGCTACCCCAGAGTCATCCATGACTGGACCTAACGCTCAGGGGTCTCTTTGCCTTAACTTGTGGTACAATTGTCTCTTGGCCCAGTGTATTTAGTCTTGGGTTCTCAGTCCCCAACATTTGTGCTTTTTCAGCTGGAAAAACTGAAGGAACCTGAAAGTGTATACAGTAGCTGCTTATTTAAATCACTTAGGATGTCAAAACATCCTTTCAACTCTACTTTAAAACCTTTTGAATTTTATAAGAAATGTATTTTTCCAAATAATACTATTACTGTTCAGGTGGACTCCCTTTGATTTTTTTAAAAACACACACACTGAAATGGCCATAATGTCATTTTCAGAGTCACAAAAACATCTTCTGCCTCATTAGATGCCATTAATGGCTGTTGACAGCTCATTGCTTTCAAAATTTTCTTAATATTCAGCAGGCCATTTCTCCCATCCACTTGATCCCTTGCAGCCCATAAAATGGAGTTCAGCTTCTCCAAATGTACCTTGTTCCCCCTGTGCTAAATATTTCCTTATGGTTAATTAAAATTCACAGGTGCCACCCCTCTCTCAATGCAACAAAAATTGCCCTTCTGGTACTAGGAGAAAAAAGAAGGAAGGGGAGAAATTTTGCTGCTATGACTGTGCTCCGTGTTCAGAAGGCAAGATTTCATACCAGAAAGGTAGGAGACATTAGGTAGCTTTCAGATAACTCAGATTTCCTGTGAAGGGTCTGTGGCAGTGTGAAAGGTGCTTTGCAAGCCCAAAAGATCAGATGATGGTTGGGGTTTACAAAGCACACTGTTACCTGCCCTACACCTAACATCAGAGATGATATCAGATACAGGGATGGTTGGTGTAACCTGCTAAAATGGCCCCATGGGTCAGAGGTTTTCTATCATTGGATTACCTGGGTGGTGATGGAGATGAGTTGCACCGGTGCGCCTGCAGAGGACAGGCCTCCTGCTGTCCAGACCCACCCCCTTACTGTCCAGGCAAGCGACTGTGATATCATTGTCTGGGGGAGGGGGGTCCACAGCTCTTTCTCCCCATGCTAGTCACTCCTGTGTCTGAAAAGGATTGTCTCTTGCACATCCAACTAGTAAGTCCCATACTGCCAGGAGGATGCATAGCTACTCTCAAGTTGCACCGGTAAAGGGAATCCTTTCTTCTTTTCAGACATGAATGACTGTGTCGGATGCTCAGAAGATCACTATCCAAACAGGAACCGAACACAATGCATTCCAAAGTCCATCAGCTTCTTGACTTTGGAAGAACCGCTTGGGATGAGCTTAGCTTTTGGCTCCATATTCTCCTCTTTGCTGACCATATTGTCCCTCGCCATCTTTATGAAGCATCAGGACACACCGATTGTCAGGGCCAATAATCAGGACCTCACCTACGTTCTCCTCCTGTCTCTCCTTCTCTGTTTTCTCTGTCCCCTCATCTTCCTCAGCCGACCAGACAGAGTGACCTGCCTTCTCCGACAAATGGCTTTTGGTGTGGTTTTCACAGTGACTGTTTCTTGTGTGTTGGCCAAAACCATCACCGTTGTTCTGGCATTCATGGCCACCAAACCAGGATCCAGAATGAGGAAATGGGTGGGGAAAAGACTGGCAAGCGCCATTGTGTTGACTTGTACTATTAGCCAAGCTGGTATTTGCACTGTGTGGCTGGGAACCTCTCCCCCATTCCCCCATTTTGACAAGCACTCTGTGACGGGAGAAATTATTCTGGAATGTAATGAAGGGTCAGCTGCCATGTTTTACTGTGTCCTGGGCTACATGGGCCTCCTGGCCTTTGTCAGTTTTGTTGTAGCATTTTTAGCCAGGAAACTGCCTGACAGCTTCAATGAGGCCAAATTCATCACCTTCAGCATGTTGTTGTTTTGTAGTGTTTGGATCTCCTTTGTTCCGGTCTACCTGAGCACCAAGGGAAAACACATGGTGGCTGTGGAGATCTTCTCCATTTTGGTCTCCAGTGCTGGTTTACTGGGTTCCATCTTTTTCCCCAAATGCTACATTATCATATTGAGGCCTGATCTGAATGACAAACAGCAGTTAATAAAGAAGAAATAGCAAAGTACCCTATTGTCACTCTTTTCTGTTACCCCAGAACATGGGTAATGAATTTGCTGCTGTCTCCTTGATATAATTTCATTTTATTTGTTTGTTGAACTTCTTATGTATATTAAAAAATCAGATGGTTCTCCCCCACCCCCCAGAGATGTGGTCCCCACCTTTGGGAGCCCAAGGGCACAATTAGAAAACTAAAGAACTCTCGTGGACACAAAAAAATACCAATTTCACAGAAAAAGTGTGGAGGTGCCCAGAAACTCCACCTCCATCCTTTCTTGTAACATGAATCCATTAGTTTGGGTCCTACTCTCTGTAGCAGGAGAAAAGCTTGCTGCATCTTCCATGTGACAGCCCTTGAGGTGTTAGAAGATGGGTATCATATCTCCTCTAAGTCTCCTTTTTCCAGGCTAAACATACCCAGCTCCCTCAACCGTTGCTCATAAGGCTTGGTTTCCCACCCATCATCTTCCTGGCTGCCCTCCTCTGCACATGTTCAGCACACATTTTACCAGCTTCTTCATGGAAATATCATGGGGGACTTCGAGAAAAGTCTGACTGAACTCAAAATAGACTATGACCACAGCATTCCCCTGATCCACCAAATTTTAATGCCATAAAAAAGGAAATAAATGAGATGTAGTATGAGGTGTAGTATGACAGCAACAGACCAAGGACAGAACCCTTTGGCACATCTGTGGCATCAGGAGATAATATTCCTATGCTATGAGGAGAAAATAAAAAGGAGGAAAATACCCCTCTTCCCAGAGAGAGTGACAGATGCCACATATACCTATTCTGAGCTCCCTGCATTCCAGGGGTGGAGATTGATGACATCTGGTGGCTCCTTTGAATTCTACAATTCTCTGTTTATTTAGGTGAATATATATAGGGGCCCTAAAAAGGCCTGCAGACAGGGCCCAACGGACCGTTTGTCCATCATCACAGCCATGGCTTGAAGTCACTCAGAATCTGCTCACAATTGTTCCTTTCCAGCCAAATTCTACCAGTGGCTAGAATTCATCTTGGCCCCATGGGTTGACCTGCCCCATGCCTGGCCTCACATAACATCAGCTGATGGGCATGTGAATGTGGTTTGGACCATGAGCCCAATGGAGAGGCTTGGTTGGCCTAACTGCTGCAGGTCAGAGGTCCTTGTTGATTCCCCGCAAGGAGCTTTCTCTACCTGTGTAGATTCTCTTGAGTGATTGACAACTTTTAGGGTTCTGGATTGTGTAAGAAAGTACAGTAAGTAGAGAAAGCTGCAGATGCTCTCTTCTGAGAACACAGTAGGTGATGAAACTGGCAGCAGGGATGCAGTGGAGGGGAAGGGGCAACAGGCTTGTTTCTGCTCCCCCCTCAGTACAATGCCTTGAAAACACTTGAAGGAGGCTGCTGGGGGATTATTTTGTGTGGATCATTGTCTCTGCTACTTCCAATGGACCAGCTGAGGCAAAGGGATCATTATTCTCTCCTCTGTTATTATCAATTACATGGTAATAATCTGCTTCTGATTAGACCTCCATAGACTTCCAGGAATCCAGTCTAAAAAGAATTAAAACCCTCTCTGCCATCCCCAGCATATGCTAAGGTGCTGCTGACTCGTTTAGTGAGCTTTCCCCTGGAGTTGGATCCTAGGTCCTGGGAATTTAGCTGGTGCATTCGGAGAGTGCCATTTAAGGCAAGCTGCTGTACTGAGGCTGTTTCTAATGCCAATGCTGATTAGCTGTAAACAGGGAAATTTCTGTCTAGGAAAGTGTATTGTTCCTGGTATGGCAGTGTTGATGCTGTTAATCTTCTTGCTGCCTCAAATGGCGAATCTGTCAAATGTCAGTCGGAGCATCAGTCACCTCCATATCCCACACAAGTACTATCAGCCAGGTGACCTTATCATTGGTGCACTTACTTCTCACATCTTGTCCTCTGTTGACTATGAAACCTTCATACAATGGGCCATCCATCCATCAGATTCTTAATCCATTGTAAGTATTTCAATTCCCATGTGATATTAATTCCTAAGTTACTATGTGGGCTTAGAAACACTCCCTATTTATTTTTGCTATGGGGATTTATTACTTATAGGGAGGGGTGCAAAATATCCCCTCCTTCCACAGAACATAGGATCAGACTTAGACTTAACCCTCCCCACCACCTGAATTTTAACATCTAAAATGATCAAGCCAGCCAATAAATTTCTAGTCAAGCCTGTAGGAACGAGGAGAATAATCTAGGATCCAGGTTGGAAGCAACGAAAGAGGAATCTTCCAGTGAGATATGACATTATGTTCTGGGTGGTGTGTTTATCTCTCACCCCCAAGCTCCCCCACCCCATTTTCCAGAAGAAGAAGAAGTGTTTGGATTTGACATCCCGCTGTACCACTATCCTAAGGACTCTCAAAGCGGCTAATAATCTCCTTTCCCTTCCTCCCCCATAACAAACCCTCTGTGAGATGAGTGAGGCTGAGAGACTTCAGAGAAGTGTGACTAGCCCAAGGTCACTCAGCAGCTGCATGTGGAGGAGCGGAGAATCAAACCTAGTTTACCAGATTACGAATCCACCGCTCTTAACCACTGCACCACACTGGCTTAATTGAGCGGAGGAGCCATGGCCACGACCAGTCACAGGGGTGTCATAATCTAGAGAGCCCAGCATTCTGATGTCAACAGGAAATGGGTGAATGGCCAGTAGGAACCATTGGTCTACCTAGCTCAGGGGTCTGCCCCAGCCCGACCTGTTTGCTAAGCAGATGATCTACCATTGGGTTTTACAGAATGTTCAAAGAAAAAGTACACAGAGTAATTGTCAAAACATTACAGGCAACAGAAGGTTGCCTGGTACCGGGGGCAATATCTTAATTGATGGGAAACTGAGGTGGGGCTCCAGAAACCTGCAAAAGGCCAACAAACTACAAGAAGGAAGCAGCTGGAGGGAATGACTCCTAGTTTCAGTTTTTTCTACACAAAGGCACAGAGTATGGGAAACAAGCAAGATGAATGGGAGCTTTTAATACAGGATGGCAAATATGACCTAGTTGGCTAGTAGGCATTACTGAAACCTGGTGGGATGAGACTCATGACTGAAATGTAGGACTTGAGAGTTAATCTGTTTTAAACGTGTAGACCAAACAGGTTGGAAGGAGGAGCATTATATGTAAAGGATGTGTATACTTGTGAATAAATCCATGACCTGGAGCATGGAAAACAGATGGTTAAAATTGTAAAAAGGTAAAGGTAAAGGTACCCCTGCCCGTACGGGCCAGTCTTGACAGACTCTGGGGTTGTGCGCCCATCTCACTCAAGAGGCCGGGGGCCAGCGCTGTCCGGAGACACTTCTGGGTCACGTGGCCAGCGTGACAAAGCTGCATCTGGCGAGCCAGCGCAGCACACGGAAACGCCGTTTACCTTCCCGCTAGTAAGCGGTCCCTATTTATCTACTTGCACCCGGGGGTGCTTTTGAACTGCTAGGTTGGCAGGCGCTGGGACCGAGCAACGGGAGCGCACCCCGCCGCGGGGATTCGAACCGCCGACCTTTCGATCGGCAAGCCCTAGGCGCTGAGGCTTTTACCCACAGCGCCACCCGCGTCCCTTAAAATTGTAGGAGAGAGAAATAACAGTGACCTCCAAGGCAGACCAAAGACTTGGATGATGCCTTCCTAGAGTAGATTATGAAACATTCCAAAAGAAGAGAACTCAAACTCTGCCAAGACTGTAAGGTCCGACAAATTGCTCCATTGCCTCGGAATTCAAGGTTTCTTTAACAGATTGGAGAATTGGGTTAACAAAACGAATTTCAATAGGGACAAATGTAAGCTTCTGCACTTAGGCAGGAAGTACCTACTTCACAAATATCAGCTGAAGGACACCTGGCTTACTAGGATCTAGCCATCTGAGTGGAACTCAAGCTTCACTTGAGTCAAAGGTGTGATGCAGTTTTTGCTGTCTGTGTGTTTAAACCTAATTCTTTATTGGTTTAATTAAATCTGCCTGTAAGCTGCGTTGTTGCTCCCTAGCACAGAAAGGCAGGGAACATAAGTTTCCTTAAACAGATTGACCAAAAATGGTACACAGCAAAACGCTTTGGTGTCCAACTCTCATTGCAGTGTTGTACCAAAATACTATCAGCAAATTCTGGCCTTGGTGTTTGCAGTCAAGGAAATCAACAAGAATTCCAATCTATTACCTAATGTCACATTAGGATTCCATATCTTTGATTGTTACTTCAGTGAAAGGATGACTTACTGGGCCACTTTGGAGCTACTCTCTACACACTATAGATTCGTACCCAACTACCAGTGTGACAAACAGAAAAACCTGAGGGCCGTCATTGGGGGACTTGACTTTGAGATTTCCCTCCACATGGCAGCCATCTTAGGTGTCTACAAGATTCCCCAGGTAAGAGTCAAACATGGTGATTTCCCCTCATTCTTCTTTCCTCTGTCCTGTTGAGAAACGTTTTGCATTCCATAATAGCCCTCTTGACAATTTCAGATTGTATTTAATAAAAGCTTGAGGAGGAGAATTGCACCGCCTTCATCCATTTCCCAACCTTTGCATGTTCTTCAGAGGGTAACAATGGAGCATTTTGCAGATACAGTTGAACACAGCTAGTCTATGTATGCAAACAGCTTGGTCTGCTGGCCTCAGGTAGACTCCAACCAGGATGAATTGCGGAGGCTGCTCATCAGTCGCTTGCACATTACCTTAATTAATTTGACCTGGACAGTTGGGGGCTGTCACTGGTGCTGTCAACAGAGCGAGCTTTTATATTCTTTTACTTTAATCCACAGAAAGGCATGGAAGTACACTCTCACTCTTGATCTGCCACCCAAATAGCCATTGCTTCCTAGAAATCAGACCCCTCCTGCTGCCTATGGTGGCTGCTAAAAACAATTCTCTTTTGGGTTCTGCTCTGAGACACACAGAACACATCTGGTCCTTTGGGAAGGAGGGGGCTCTGGCAAACTCTTCAGTGACAGCATGTCAGGTGGCTGCTGTACTGTTTCTAATGCATCTGACTCCTGTCTCTGCTTACTGCTACCTTGCCCTGGTTCTTCATCACCTATTGTTTCCCAGGTCCTTTTTCCTTCTCGGGTGTGACCCATCTCAAACCACCACACCATACTCTCCCCCCTTCCTTCTCTCTGGAATGTTATTGGGGTACCACTCCTCCTCATCTGCCCATTCTTTGATGGGCTTACTAAGACAGTGGGTCCAAAGCACAATTGTTTCATCATTGCTATCCACACATAACCAATGTTTCTACTGCTTTAATGGGAAATAAGTGTCTGTTTCCTTCTAGCTCACTTATGGCTCCTTTGCCCCAGAGGATGCTGGTCAAAGCCAATCCACTTCCTTCTACCGGATGGTGCCCAATGAAGCCCATCAGTACACTGGGATTGTTGAGTTACTTCTGCACTTTGGATGGACGTGGGTTGGGTTGCTCGCTGCGGATAGTGAGAGTGGAGAGAAATTTATGGAAATCCTGCAAACTCTGCTTTTTCAGAGAGGTATTTGCTTGGCCTTTTCAGAGAGAACTCCAAAAGGCTCGTATTTTGAAGAGTATTATGAAATGATTCCCCAGTGGCTCCAAGCCTATCTTGCTATTGCGGAAAGCAAAGCCAGTGCTGTCGTTGTCTATGGAGAAGCCAAGTCCATGTTTTATTTGCAACTATGGCTAGCGGCAGGGGAAGCGGAAAATGTGACATCTATGGAGAAGGTATGGATTATGACTGCTCAATTGGATTTCTCAGCAGTGGCCTTTCAAATGAGCCAGAGTATGCAACCATTTCATGGCTCCATCTGCTTCACAGTGCACTCAAATGAGGTGCAAGGATTCAAGACCCTTCTTCGCTCCCTCAATCCTTTCATGGCAGGTGAAGATGGTTTTCTTCAGCTGTTCTGGCTGCAGACATTCTATTGTTTCTTTTCAAAATCCAGTACTGAGTTCAGTGAACCCTGCACTGGACTGGAGAAGCTGGACAGCCTTCCCTCATCTGGCTTTGAGATGAGCATGACTGGCCACAGCTACAGCATCTACAATGCTGTCTATGTTGTGGCACATGCCCTGCATGATGCCATGTATAGATCCAGGGCAAAAGACAGAGGAATTGTGAGAAGATGGAGACCGCAGCTTCAGAAATTTCAGCCTTGGCAGGTAATGGCTCTTTTTATATTATTATTATTATTATTTCATTTTATATTGTTGATAAAGCAAAGACAACAATTTTAATAACAGACAATAATTGAAAGATGAATAACCAAACTGTAAAATAGGCAGGTAGGGTGTGTAGTTGCACGTGAGTGAAATAAAGACTTTAAAGTCCAAATTAAATCCAATTGTATCAGATCACCAAGCATAGTTCCAGATTTGCCAGGTTTTGGGCGAGGGGGTTGTTTTGAAAACGTTGGTTCAGCTGTATATGCCAAATCATATGAAACATGTCTAGTCCTTGTCAAAATCTCAAATTATTTGTGATTATCTTTGTTATAGCTATATTCCAGAGTGAGTGGTACAAAGTGTCCAGCATCAGATTTTTGGGCTGTGTTCTATTGAGTTGCAATTACTATGAATGCTGCCAGTTTAATCTTGCCAATTCTTTTGGCAATATACTTAAAATGGTATAATCAGGAATACACAGTGACATTCATTTTGGACAACAAACCATCTTTTTATAGTAATATTTATCATTTCTGAGAGCTTCAGCTCTTCAAAACAGCTAGGTGTGATATTGTCAATGGCAATTTCTATCTAAAACTAGAGTCTTAACAGGAACATCTTTTTTGCCTGTTTCTCCCTCAGTCTAACCCTCTCCCCATTTTCCTGTTCTTTCATTTATACCCTTTCTGCATTGAACTTCATGGATGTTTGCATGATGATTTCAGGCTTTGAAATACATATACAGTGTGGCGTAGTCCTATACGGACGAATCTCCAGGGGAAAGAGAGACCAAAATTTACTGTTATTATTGCAATAGTTATTATTTTGTGATTATTTGAAATCTTGTCTACTGTCTTGGAAGAGGCAATGGCACCTTAAAAGGCGATGCTGAACATAAGATAAGTTTGAGTTTTAAACAATTGTCCTCTTCCTGCCATCTTGATGCAGCTCCACCCATTTCTTAGGAGTGTCTCATTTAACAACAGTGCGGGAGAAGAAGTGTCTTTTAGTGAGAACAGGGAATTAGAAGCTGGATTCGATATTACCAACTTGGTCACTTTCCCAAATAACTCCTTCATCAGAATGAAGGTTGGATGGATGAATTTGGATGCTCCCCCAGGAAAAGAGTTTTCCATCAATGAAGACAAAATGGTGTGGCACAGGAGTTTTCACCAGGTGGGGCATGATTTCAGGAAATTGCAACTCCAGTGTGTCCTAAATGTGATGCTTGCATCTTGGAAGCCTAGCGGAGACATGGATCCTGTATTTTCTCTCTCTTGTTGTTTATGAAAACCTCTATGAATGTTGTGGGGCTCTGATGCCCTGAAGCAGGCCAGGACAGAGATCATTATTATATGCTTGTTTGTTTATTACATTTTATTTCCACCTTTCCTCCAAGGAGCTCAAGGCTGTGTGCTTACTTCCCGTTTTATCCTAACAAGAACCCTGTAAGGTAGTGTAGACTGAGAGAAGCAGTGCTGGCCCAAGGTCACCTAATGAGTTTCATGGCCAAGTGGGGATTTGAATCCTGGTCTTCCACTTCCCTGTCTAGCACATTCTTTAAAGATTTCTAGGCCAGCAGAGTGTGACCTAAGCCTAACCTCCAACCACCTTCTTTGGGAAGAAAGAAAAGGGAGCTGAGCCTGGAGACAGACGAGGCAGACTTCTGCAGAGAATGCTTGTTTGGAGGCTAGTAATTCTCAAGATATAGTAGCAGAAGTCTGGCAGAGTCCAGCACTATCCTTGTTTTTGAGGCTGCTTAAGTTGTGGAATGTGCGTGGCGCTGTGGTCTAAACCAGGCTTCCTCAACCTCTGCTCTCCAGATGTTTTTGGCCTACAACTCCCATGATCCCTAGCTAGCAGGACCAGTGGTCAGGGATGATGGGAATTGTAGTCTCAAAACATCTGGAAGGCGAAGGTTGAGGAAGCCTGGTCTAAACCACAGAGCCTAGGGCTGGCCAATCAGAAGGTTGGCGGTTCGAATCCCAGTGACAGGGTGAGCTCCCGTTGCTCGGTCCCTGCTCCTGCCAACCTAGCAGTTCAAAAGCATTTCAAAGTGCAAGTAGAGAAGTAGTAGGTACCACTCCTGCGGAAAGGTAAACAGCGTTTCCATGCGCTGCTCTGGTTTGCCAGAAGTGGCTTAGTCATGCTGGCCACATGACCCAGAAGCTGTACACGGGCTCCCTCGGCCAATAAAGCGAGATGAGCGCCGCTACCCCAGAGTCATCCGTGACTGGACCTAACGGTCAGGGGTCCCTTTACATTAAATTGTGTTACAATTGTCTCTTGGCCCAGTGTATTTAGTCTGGGGTTCTCAGTCCGCAACATTTGTGCTTTTTCAGCTGGAAAAACTGAAGGAACCTGAAAGTGCATACAGTAGCTGCTTATTTAAATCACTTAGGATGTCAAAACATCCTTTCAACTCTACTTTAAAATCTTTTGAATTTTATAAGAAATGTATTTTTCCAAATGATTGTATTACTGTTCAGGTGGACTTCCTCCCTCCCTTTGATTTTTTTTAAAAAACACACACATTGAAATGGCCATAACTTCATTTTCAGAGTCACAAAAACATCTTCTGCCTCATTAGATGCCATTAATGGCTGTTGACAGCTCATTGCTTTCAAATTTCTCTCTCTCTCTCTTTTTTAATAAGATATTTATTAAAATTTTCAAAATATTACAAAAGACAGAAAAAAATACAAAGAATAAAAATCGTTAATAGAATAAAAAAAGAGAAGAAAACCCCTTCCCCCCGTGTAAAAAGAGAGAAGAAAACCAAAATAAGAAAACAAAAAAGTGGCAAAAATACAAAAATCCCAAACCTTTAAAAACATTTAAAAACAAATTCATTATTTTCAGATCCTTAACTGTCATTACCTTCTTTCTTAGACCTCCTCCTCCTCCCTTTCTTTGTATCCTAGTTATTAATTATCCCAGCAAATCCTTTCATTTCCATGTTTCATAACATTGTATCATTTCATTACCCTAGACTATTTTAATCTTATCTTTCTATAATAGAATAAACCTTAAAACTTAAAGCTTAAGCTTCTTATAATCATACTATTCTTTCATAATTCTTTAAGCATCTTTGCTAAAGCCAAGTAATTTCTAATAATATTAATTTCTCTTAATATTCAGCAGGTCATTCTCCCATCCACTTGATCCCTTGTAGCCCAGAAAATGGAGTTCAGGTTCTCCAAAGGTCCATTATTCCCCCTGTGCTAAAAATTTCCTTACGGTTAATTAAAATTCACAGGTGCCACCCCTCTCTCAATGCAACAAAAATTGTCCTTCTGGTACTAGGAGAAAAAAGAAGGAAGGGGAGAAATTCTGCTGCTATGACTGTGCTCCGTGTTCAGAAGGCAAGATTTCATACCAGAAAGGTAGGAGATATTAGGTAGCTTTCAGATAACTCAGATTTCCTGTGAAGGGTCTGTGGCAGTGTGAAAGGTGTCACAGTTGCTGCTATTGATGTAGGTCTGATTTCCATAGAGATTGAAGTTCACAGACTTGGAGCTCTTCATTGCAACCAGCTGATGGCCCACCAACGAGGCCCAGCATTTTCAAAGAGGTGCTTTGCAAGCCCAAATGATCAGATGATGGTTGGGGTTTACAAAGCACACTTTTACCCGGCAATACACCTAACATCAGAGATGACATCAGATACAGGGCTGGTAGGTGTAACTTGCTAAAATGGATCAGAGGTTTTCTATAACTCGATTACCTGGGGGGTGATGGAGATGAGTTGCAGCAGTGCACCTGCAGACGACAGGACTCCTGCTGTCCAGACCCACCCCCTTACTGTCCCGGCAAGCGACTGTGAGATCATTGTCTGGGGGAGGGGGGTCCACAGCTCTTTCTCCCCATGCTAGTCACTCCTGTGTCTGAAAAGGATTGTCTCTTGCACATCCAACTAGTAAGTCCCATACTGCCAGGAGGATGCATACCTACTCTCAAGTTGCACCGGTAAAGGGAATCCTTTCTTCTTTTCAGACATGAATGACTGTGTCGGATGCTCAGAAGATCACTATCCAAACAGGAACCGAACACAATGCATTCCAAAGTCCATCAGCTTCTTGACTTTGGAAGAACCGCTTGGGATGAGCTTAGCTTTTGGCTCCGTATTCTCCTCTTTGCTGACCATATTGTCCCTCGCCATCTTTATGAAGCATCAGGACACACCGATTGTCAGGGCCAATAATCGGGACCTCACCTACGTTCTCCTCCTATCTCTCCTTCTCTGTTTTCTCTGTCCCCTCATCTTCCTCAGCCGACCAGACAGAGTGACCTGCCTTGTTCGACAAATGGCTTTTGGTGTGGTTTTCACAGTGACTGTTTCTTGTGTGTTGGCCAAAACCATCACCGTTGTTCTGGCATTCATGGCCACCAAACCAGGATCCAGAATGAGGAAATGGGTGGGGAAAAGACTGGCAAGCGCCATTGTGTTGACTTGTACTATTATCCAAGCTGGTATTTGCACTGTGTGGCTGGGAACCTCTCCCCCATTCCCCCATTTTGACAAGCACTCTGTGACGGGAGAAATTATTCTGGAATGTAATGAAGGGTCAGCTGCCATGTTTTACTGTGTCCTGGGCTACATGGGCCTCCTGGCCACTGTCAGTTTTGTTGTAGCATTTTTAGCCAGGAAACTGCCTGACAGCTTTAATGAGGCCAAATTCATCACCTTCAGCATGTTGTTGTTTTGTAGTGTTTGGATCTCCTTTGTTCCAGTCTACCTGAGCTCCAAGGGAAAACACATGGTGGCTGTGGAGATCTTCTCCATCTTGGTCTCCAGTGATGGTTTACTGGGTTCCATCTTTTTCCCCAAATGCTACATTATCATATTGAGGCCTGATCTGAATGACAAACAGCAGTTAATAAAGAAGAAATAGCAAAGTACCCTGTTGTCACTCTTTTCTGTTACCACAGAACATGGGTAATGAATTTGCTGCTGACTCCTTGATATAATTTCATTTTATTTGTTTATTGAACTTGCTATGTGCATAAAAAAAATAAAAATCAGATGGTTCTCTCCCCCCCCCCCCCGATATGTGTTCCCCGCATTTGGGAGCCCAAGGGTACATTTGGAAAACTAAGGAACTCTTGTGGACACAAAAAAACACCAATTTCACAGAAGAAAGTGTGGAGATGCCCAGAAACTCCACCTCCATCCTTTCTTGTAACTTGAATCCATTGGTTTGGGTCCTACTCTCTGTAGCAGGAGAAAAGCTTGCTGCATCTTCCATGTGACAGCCCTTGAGGTATTTGAAGATGGGTATCATATCTCCTCTCAGTCTCCTTTTTCCAGGCTAAACATACCCAGCTCCCTCAACCGTTGCTCATAAGGCTTGGTTTCCCACCCATCATCTTCCTGGCTGCCCTCCTCTGCACATGTTCAGCACACATTTTACCTCATGAAAATATAATGGGGTACTTTGCCAAAAGCCTGCCTGAACTCAAAATATACTATGACCACAGCATTCTCCTGATCCTAATGCCATAAAAAATAAAATAAATGAGATTGGTCTGGTATGACAACAGCAGGCCCAGGACAGAACCCTTTGGCATATCTGTGGCATCAAGAGATAATATCCCTATGCTATGAGGAGAAAATGAAAAGGAGGAAAATACGCCTTTTTCCAGAGAGAGTGAGAGATGCCACATATACCTATTCCGAGCTCAGAATTGTACATGCAGCTCTCTCTGTGTATGAAGAAGTAGTTGAAGAAGAGCCCGGAAATAAATCCCCTACGTCAAGTTTTGTTTAAAATTTTGCCTCCCTTACAGGCCTGTGGTCTGAAGTCTAGTGCTGCATCCTTGGAATCCGAGAGTCAGGGCCGAGCTCACAATACCCTTTGTGTCTCAAACTTGCTCTTGAATGCACCTTCCTCTTCACAAAGCAGCATGTGAGAAAAGAGGGTTTAGGTGAAATCACAAGGGCAGTCATTGTCCTGGGCACAGTTTTTTCCAGGCCACGTTTTGCTCCTCACACCATCCATGCCAGCCCTGTTCTGCTTTGCAGGTCTGATCCCACATCCCAGCCCCTCAAAGCAGCGTGGGGCTGGCAGGGCGTCAGGAGGATGGAATGGGCATGTGCCCTTCCTGCTGCGTCCTCCTCATATCACCCGCCCAGCCTGTCACGGATGCTTTAGTTGTGATCCCTGCATTCCAGAGGGTCGAGCTTGATGACCTTTGGGGGCTCCTTTCAATTCTACATTTTTTTGTTTATTTAGGTGAATATATAGGGCCCCCCATGGGACGCGGGTGGCGCTGTGGGTAAAACCTCACTGCCTAGGACTTGCCGATCGCATGGTCGGCGGTTCGAATCCCCGCGGCGGGGTGCGCTCCCGTCGTTCGGTCCCAGCGCCTGCCAACCTAGCAGTTCGAAAGCACCTCCGGGTGCAAGTAGATAAACAGGCACTGCTTACCAGCGGGCAGGTAAACAGCGCTCTGTGTGCTGCGCTGGCTCGCCAGATGCAGCTTGTCACGCTGGCCACGTGACCCGGAAGTGTCTGCGGACAGCGCTGGCTCCCGGCCTATAGAGTGAGATGAGCGCACAACCCTAGAGTCTGGCAAGACTGGCCCGAACGGGCGGGGGTACCTTTACATTTTACTATAGGGGCCCTAAAAAGCGCACAACCCTAGAGTCTGGCAAGACTGGCCCGAACGGGCAGGGGTACCTTTACCTTTTACTATAGGGGCCCTAAAAAGGCCCGCAGACACCTTTTGCATCTCCCCTACTCGCGGGGAAACACGGTTTCGGGGATCCGGAGCGACGTGGGGTGAGTGGCATGGTGCTTCGAATCGTCTGCTTCTTCCACGGAGCGAAGCCGCATAGCTGTTGCCGGAGAGCGCTGACTTTTTCCTGTGGACAATTTGACTTCAAAGTAATTACCCGTGAGTAGAGCTGAAATGGGAGAATCGGATTTTAAACGTTTAATTTGGCATCGAAACGGGGAGGTTCAAAACAGGAAGTCCGCCTTCCCTATTTGTAAATAGACTGAGGCAAGGAGGCTGCAAGCTGAAGTCTTGGAAAGCCTTTCGTAAAAGTCTAAATTTCCATCGGCAAAAAGCATAAAACCCCCCCTTGGAGGCAGGAGAAGAGGGGGGGGGGAGTTGTGGACTGAGTATGCCTGCAGGAGAGAGTGGAAAAAGTTAAAGTACCGCCGCTCTGACCCTGGAAACGGGCTGCTAGTAGGACTGACGTTTTGGAATGTTCATTGACAGCGTTTAGAACGTTCATTGACAGGTAGCGAAATGAGAGAATACATTGTTTCTACTGTCTCCGGTTGCTTTTGTTGTTGTTGTTGTTTAGTCGTGTCCGACTCTTCGTGACCCCATGGACCAGAGCACGCCAGGCACCTCTGTCCTCCACTACCTCCCGCAGTTTGGTCAAACTCATGCTGGTAACCTCGAAAACACTATCCAACCATCTCGTCCTCTGTCGCCCCCTTCTCCTTGTGCCCTCCATCTTTCCCAGCATCAGTGTCTTCTCCAGGGAGTCTTCTCTTCTCATGAGGTGGCCAAAGTACTGGAGCCTCAGCTTCACGATCTGTCCTTCCAGTGAGCACTCAGGGCTGATTTCCTTAAGAATGGATGCGTTTGATCTTCTTGCAATCCATGGGACTCTCCCCTTCATGGATCACTGCCTTGCCGTGGCGAAGGGGCTTGAAGAACTCAGAGAAGCTATGAACTACGCCGAGCAGGGCACACAAGATGAACAGGTCATAGTGGAGAGTTTTGACCAAACGTGATCCACCTGGAGGAGGAACTGGCAAGCCACTCCAGTATCCTTGCCAAGAAAACTCCATGGACAAAGACAACAGGCCGGTTGCTTTTAAAGAGGAGCAAAGGTAACTGTAAACTCAAACTAACTTTGGATTATTGGAACATTGTTTAAAAGAGGACAGTACTGATTAACACAAATGGAAACTGTTTCCCCTAGTGGAAGCTTTTGAAATTGGTTGCTCCATAGGAGCTGGACTAGGGGAATTTCCAGCTGCAAGATAAAGAAGCGTGAGACTCTGGGATTGACCTTGAGTCTCTTAAGTGTTATGGCAAATAGAAAGGAAAAAATAGACGGAATGTCGACAGAAGAGGCCTTAGTGGCCGTATTTGTGAAAATAAACGATTTGCTGGAACAGCTTCACAAGAAAACAGATGTGATGAATGAGAAAGGAAATGCTGCAAATATTAAAATAGACTTAATGGCAGAAAGTTTAAATAATCTGGGACAAAAGGTGAATACTGAAACCATCCAGAAATTGATACAGGAATCTACTCTGATACGGCAAACTGCGGATGAAGTAAAAAAAAAGAAGAGGTGTTTTCCAGAGCAACTAAAGTTCAAGGTATGCTGCATTTCGGGCTAAAAGTGTGAACGCAGGTTGATTAATTCCCTGGTTCACGGAGCTGCGTGGAGCTGCGTTTTGGAAAAACAAAAGCTCTGGGAGAAGAGGCCTGCAGCTTCGAAGCTGAAGCCTACATTCCACAAATTCTTGTGGTTAAGATAAGACTGTCCTATTGAAATGCATTGTTGCTAAGTAACGGAAAGTTGGAAAGTTACTGGCATAGGGGCTGGACTGTGAGTGTGAGCCTGGGAAAGCGAAACAAAGCCATAGATTGTTTTGACTACACGTTTAAGAGCTCTTGGAAGGGACTTTCCATAGCAGCTAGCTGCTGAATTTGAAACAATTCAATTGGAGAGAGAGTCCCTTCCATACAAGGACAACTTGATTAACATAAGCTAACATTTGTTATGATTGAACTTAAAGAGAAACAGATGAATTTAAGGATCAGAGCCCTACCTGAGACAGGGCTCAACATCGGTTGAGAAAGAGAGGTTTTTGGGGTGGGACGTGGGTGGCGCTGTGGGTAAAAGCCTCAGCGCCTAGGGCTTGCCGATCGAAAGGTCGGCGGTTCGAATCCCCGCGGCGGGGTGCGCTCCCGCTGCTCGGTCCCAGCGCCTGCCAACCTAGCAGTTCGAAAGCACCCCCGGGTGCAAGTAGATAAATAGGGACCGCTTACTAGCGGGAAGGTAAACGGCGTTCCGTGTGCTGCGCTGGCTCGCCAGATGCAGCTTGTCACGCTGGCCATGTGACCCGGAAGTGTCTCCGGACAGCGCTGGCCCCCGGCCTATAGAGTGAGATGGGCGCACAACCCTAGAGTCTGTCAAGACTGGCCCGTACGGGCAGGGGTACCTTTACCTTTACCTTTATGACCGCCAGAAATGTGAATTTATTCAAGGATAATTGCGAAGGACGTTGGATTGAAGAGAAGGGGGATTTGGAAATATGGTTAAATCTGAAGTTGTTATTGTTGGGCCGAGTTGCTGTGGTGGGAATAGGGGTTGCTGTGTTGTCGGGGATGTTGCTTTTGTTTCAAACATTGCAAGTTTTGGAGGGGATGGATTGTATCAGGAGGTGGCAGAGGGATGTCTCTAGATTTGTCTGGCAGGGCAGGAAGCCACAAGTAAAATTTAAGATATTGACGGATGCTAAAGAAGGAGGTGGACTTGCCCTGCCAGACCCCTAAACTTTGTTGTGAACCATCTGCTTTTTGCTGGCTGAGAGAATGGTTGCTTCTTGAAAGCACTGAAGTGCTGGATAAATGGCAGATGAAGTTGATGGACTATATGGAATTGGCGGAATTGACTGGCAAGATCTGAGACCAGGGAGAAGAGTCGGGGGAAGACGACTGGAAAAAGTTTAAAGACTATTTACAGAAATATGGTAAAATTAATGAATGTTAGAAGAATGTTGGAATGAAGTTATATGGCTTTAGTAGAAATGCTATAAGGAATTAAGTATAAATAGATTCATAGAAATTTAAAGGAAAAAATAAGGTAAGAATGTGTTAAGATAATTATAGGATAGAAAACAGAGGAAGATGGAAAGGAATTGCTGAAATAATAAATAGAAGTGGAAAACAAAAAGGGAGGTGTGAGGAGGTCGATGGAAATAAGCGAATGAAAGATAGGATATTGAAAATGCTTGAGGTGATTTTAAATTGTTTTTGTCTGTTTTTGTTTTGTTTTGTATGTAGTGTTTTTGTATTGCCTTTGTATTGTTCTTTTTCTTTTTTTCCTTCTTTTTTCGTGTAATGTTGTGTTGAAATTGTTTGAAAAGTAATAAATATCATTTAAAAAAAAAAAGGCCTGCAGACAGGGCCCAACGGACCGTTGTCCATCATCACAGCCATGCGTTGAAGTCACTCAGAATCTGCTCACAATTGTTCCTTTCCAGCCAAATTCTACCAGTGGCTAGAATTCATCTTGGCCCCATGGGTTGACCTGCCCCATGCCTGGCCTCACATAACATCAGTTGATGGACATGTGAATGTGGTTTGGACCATGAGCCCAATGGAGAGGCTTGGTTGGCCTAACTGCTGCAGGTCAGAAGTCCTTGTTGATTCCCAGCAAGGAGCTTTCTCTACCTGTGTAGATTCTCTTGAGTGATTGACAACTTTTAGGGTTCTGGATTGTGTAAGAAAGTACCGTAAGGACAGCAAGCTACAGAGGCTCTCTTCTGAGAACACAGTAGGTGATGAAACTGGCAGCAGGGATGCAATGGAGGGGAAGGGGCAACAGGCTTGTTCCTGCTCCCCCCTCAGTACAATACCTTGAAAACACTTGAAGGAGGCTGCTGAGGGATTATTCTGTGTGGATCATTGTCTCTGCTACCTCCAATGGACCAGCTGAGGCAAAGGGATCATTATTCTCTCCTCTGTTATTATCAATTTCATGGTAATAATCTGCTTCTGATTAGACCTCCATAGACTTCCAGGAATCCAGTCTAAAAAGAATTAAAACCCTCTCTGCCATCCCCAGTAAATGCTAAGGTGCTGCTGACTCGTTTAGTGAGCTTTCCCCTGGAGTTGGATCATAGGACTTGGGAATTTAGCTGGTGCATTCGGAGAGTGCCATTCAAGGCAAGCTGCTGTACTGAGGCTGTTTTTAATGCCAATGCTGATTAGATGTAAACAGGGAAATCTCTGTCCAGCAAACTGTATTGTTCCTAGTATGGCAGTGTTGATGCTGTTAATCTTCTCGCTGCCTCAAATGGTGAATCTGTCAAATGTCAATCGGAGCATCAGTCACCTCCATATCCCACACAAGTACTATCAGCCAGGTGACCTTATCATTGGTGCACTTGCTTCTCACATCTTGTCCTCTGTTGACTATGAAACCTTCATACAATGGCCATCCATCCATCAGATTCTTAATCCATTGTAAGTATCGCAAATTTTCAGTTCCTATGTCATATTAATTCCTAAGGTACCACGTGGGCTCATAAATATATTCTATTTATTTTTGCTATGGGGATTTATTACTTATAGGGAGTTGTGCAAAATAACTCCCACCCCTCAGAACATAGGATCAGTCTTAGACTTAACCACCTGAATTTTAACATCTAAAATGATCAAGACAGACAATAAATTTTTCGTCAAGCCTGTAGGAACGAGGTGGATTGTCTAGGATCCAGCGTGGAATTAAAGAAAGAGCAGTCTTCCAGTGAGATATGACATTATGTTCTGGGTGGTGTGTTTCTCTCTCACCCCCAAGCTCCTGCACCCCACTTTCTAGAGCAGTGCTTAATGGAGAGGAGGAGCCATGACCACAACCAGTCACATGGGTGTCATAATCTAGAGAACCCAGCATTCTGGGAAATGGGTGAATGGCCAGCAGCAACCATTGGTCTACCTAGTACATGCCTGTCTGCACAGAGTAGTAGTGGCTCTCCAGGATTTCAGACAGGGGTCTGCCCCAGCCCCACCTGTATGCTAAGCAGATGATCTACCATTGGGTTTTACAGAATCTTCAAAGAAAAAGTACACAGAGTAATTGTCAAAACGTTACAGGCAACAGAAGGTTGGCTGCTATCGGGGGCAATAGCTTCATTGATGCATGGGAAACTGAGGTGGGGTTCCAGAAACCTGCAAAAGGGCAACAAACTACAAGAAGGAAGCAGCTGGAGGGAATGACTCCTAGTTTCAGTTGTCTCTACTGAAAGGCCCAGGGTATGGGAAACAAGCAAGATGAATTTGAGCTTTTAATACAGGATGACAAATATGACCTAGAAAGCGAGTAGGCATAGCCTTGGAGTTCAAGATTTCTTTAACAGATTGGAGAACTGGGTTAACAAAATGAATTTCAATAGGGACAAATGTAAGGTACTGCACTTAGGCAGGAAGTACAAACTTCACAAATATAAGCTGAAGGACACCTGGCTTACTAGGATCTAGCAATCTAAGTGGAACTCTAGCTTCACGTGAGTGAACATTGTGATGCAGTTTTTGGTGTCTGTGTTTAAACCAAATTCTTTATTGGTTTAATTAAATCTGCCTGTAAGCTGCCTTGTTGCTCCCTAGCACAGAAAGACATGGAACCTAAGTTTCCTTAAACAGATTGACCAAAAATGGTACACAGCAAAACGCTTTGATGTCCAACTCTCATTGCAGTGTTGTACCAAAATACTATCAGCAAATTCTGGCCTTGGTGTTTGCAGTCAAGGAAATCAACAAGAATTCCAATCTATTACCTAATGTCACATTAGGATTCCACATCTTTGATAGTTACTTCAGTGAAAGGATGACCTACTGGGCCACTTTGGAGCTACACTCTACACACTATAGATTTGTACCCAACTACCAGTGTGACAAACAGAAATATCTGATGGCCGTCATTGGGGGACTTGACTTTGAGGTTTCCCTCCACATGGCAGCCATCTTAGGTGTCTACAAGATTCCCCAGGTAAGAGTCAAACATGGTGATTTCCCCTCATTCTTCTTTCCTCTGTCCTGTTGAGAAAAGTTTTCCATTCCATAATAGCCCTCTTGACAATTTCAGATTGTAGTCAATAAAAGCTTTCATCCATCTTCATCCATTTCCCAACGTGTGCATGTTCTTCAGAGGGTATGAATGGAACATTTTGCAGATATACACACCTAGTCTATGTATGCGAACAGCTTGGTCTGCCGGCCTCAGGTAGACTCCAACCAGGATGAATTACGGAGGCTGCTCATCAGTCGCTTGTACATTACCTTAATTAATTTGACTTGGACAATTTGGGGCTGTCAGGGGTGCCGTCAACAGCTCACTGGTTATCTACCTAGTGAAATCAGAGACGCAGAGAGAGCTTTTCAATGGATTCATTTTAATTCACAGGAAGACATGAAAGTATGCTCTCACCCTTGAGCTAATGTTGCTCAGAGTATCACTCCAGCCCCTGACAATTTCTGCCTAGAAACCAGACCCCTCCTGCTGCCTATGGTGGCTGCTCAGGACAATTCTCTTTTGGGTTCTGCAGAGCATGTCTGATCCTTTTGGAAGGAGGGGGCTCTGACAAACTCTCTTGAGAGAGAATGTCACTTTGCTACTGTATTGTTTCTAATGCATCTGACTGCTACCTTGCTCCTGTTCTTCATCACCTATTGTTTCCAAGGTCATTTTTCCTTCTCGGATGTGACCCATCTCAAACCACCATACCATACTCTCCCCCTTCCTTCTCTCTGGAATGTTATTGGGGTACCACTCCTTCTCATCTGCCCATTCCCTGACGGGCTTACTAAGACAGTGCGTCCAAAGCACAATTGTTTCATCATTGCAATCCACACATAATCAATGTTTCTACTGCATTAATGTGAATTAAGTATCCGTTTCCTTCCAGCTCACTTATGGCTCCTTTGCCCCAGAGGATGCTGGTCCAAGACAATCCACTCCCTTCTACCGGATGGTGCCCAATGAAGCCCATCAGTACACTGGGATTGTTGAGTTACTTCTGCACTTTGGATGGACGTGGGTTGGGTTGCTCGCTGCAGATAGTGAGAGTGGAGAGAGGTTTATGGAAATCCTGCAAACTCTGCTTTTCCAGAGAGGCATTTGCTTGGCCTTTGCAGAGAGAATTTCAAAAGGCACATATTTTGAAGAGTATTATGACAGGATCTCCCAGTGGCTCCAAGCCTATCTTGCTATTGCGGAAAGCAAAGCCAATGCTGTCATTGTCTATGGAGAAGCCAAGTCCATGAGTTTTTTGCAACTATGGCTAGCGGCAGGGGGTGCAGAAAATGTGACATCTATGGAGAAGGTATGGATTATGACTGCTCAACTGGATTTCTCAGCAGTGGCCTTTCAAATGAGCCAGAGTATGCAACCATTTCATGGCTCCATATGCTTCACAGTGCACTCAAAGGAGGTGCAAGGATTCAAGACCCTTCTTCGCTCCCTCAATCCTTTCATGGCAGGTGAAGATGGCTTTCTTCAGCAGTTCTGGCTGCAGACATTCTATTGTTTCTTTTCCAAATCCAGTACTGAGTTCAGTGAACCCTGCACTGGACTGGAGAAGCTGGACAGCCTCCCCTCGTCTGGCTTTGAGATGAGCATGACTGGCCACAGCTACAGCATCTACAATGCTGTCTATGTTGTGGCACATGCACTACATGATGCCATGTACAGATCCAGGGCAAAAGACAGAGGAATTGTGAGAAGATGGAGACCGCAGCTTCAGAAATTGCAGCCTTGGCAGGTAATGGCTCTTTTGTTGTTGTATATCTTTTAATTATTATTTCATTTTATATTGTTGATAAAGCAAAGGCAACAATTTTAACAACAGACAAAAATTGAAAGATGAATAACCAAACTGTAAAATAGGCAGGTAGGGTGTGTAGTTGCACGTGAGTTAAATAAAGACTTTAAAGTCCAAATTAAGTCCAATTGTATCAGATCACCAAGCATAGTTCCAGATTTGCCAGGTTTTGGGGGAGGGGTTTGTTTTGAAAACGTTGGTTCTGCTGTATATGCCAAATCATATGAAACGTGTCTAGTCCTTGTCAAAATCTCAAATTATTTGTGATTATCTTTGTTATAGCTATATTCCAGAGTGAGTGGTACAAAGTGTCCAGCATCAGATTTTTGGGCTGTGTTCTATTGAGTTGCAATTACTATGAATGCTGCCACTTTAATCTTGCCAATTTTTTTGGCAACGTATTTACAATGGTATCATCAGAAATACACAGTGACATTCATTTTGGACAACAAACCATCTTTTTATAGTAATATTTATCATTTCTGAGAAAATTGGATACAACCCACTCACCTGAGCTTCAGCTCTTCAAAACAGCTATGTGTGATATTGTCAATGGGAATTTGTATCTAAAACTAGAGTCTTAACAGGAACATCTTTTTTGCCTGTTTCTCCCTCAGTCTTACCATCTCCCCATTTCCCTGTTCTTTCATTTATACCCTTTCTGCATTGAACTTCATGGATGTTTGCATGATGATTTTGGAAGTCCTGTTTAAGCTTTGAAATACATATACAGTGTGCCTTAGTCCTATACGGAGGAATCTACAGAGGAAAGAGAGATCAAAATTTTACTGTTATTATTGCTATTGTTATTATTTTGTGATTATATGAAATCTTGTCTACTGCCTTGGAAGAGGCAATGGCACATTAAAAGGCAATGCTGAACATAAGATAAGTTTGAGTTTTAAACAATTGTCCTTTTCCTGCCATCTCAATGCAGCTCCACCCATTTCTTAGGAGAGTCTCATTTAACAACAGTGCGGGAGAAGAAGTGTCTTTTAGTGAGAACAGGGAATTAGAAGCTGGATTCGATATTACCAACTTGGTCACTTTCCCAAATAACTCCTTCATCAGAATGAAGGTTGGATGGATGAATTTGGATGCTCCCCCAGGAAAAGAGTTTTCCATGAATGAAGACAAAATGGTGTGGCACAGGAGTTTTCACCAGGTGGGGCATGATTTCAGGAAATTGCAACTCCAGTGTGTCCTAAATGTGATGCTTGCATCTTGGAAGCCTAGCGGAGACATGGATCCTATATTTTTCCTCACTTGTTGTTTATGAAAACCTCTATGAATGTTGTGGGGCTCTGATGCCTTGAAGCAGGGCAGGGCATAGTTCATTATTATATGCTTGTTTGTTTATTGCATTTTTAGTCCACCTTTCCTCCAAGGAGCTTAAGGCTGTGTGCTTACTTCCTGTTTTATCCTAACAAGAACCCTGTAAGGTAGTGTAGACTGGGAGCAGCAGTGACTGGCCCAAGGTCACCCAATGAGTTTCATTTGAATCCTGGTCTCCCACTTCCCTGTCTAGCACATTCATTAAAGATTTCTAGGCCAGCAGATTGTGACCGAAGCCTAACCTCCAACCAACCTCTGTGGGGAGAAAGAAAAGGGAGTTGAGCCTGGAGACAGACGAGGCAGACTTCTGCAGAGAATGCCTAGTTTGGAGGCTAGTAATTCTCAAGATATAGTAGCAGAACTCTGGCAGAGCCCAGTAATATCCTTGATTTTGAGGCTGTTTAACTTGTGTGACAATTGTCTCTTGGCCCAGTGTATTTAGTCTGGGGTTCTCAGTTCCTAATATTTGTGCTTTTTCAGGTGGAAAAACAGAAGGAACCTGACAGTGTATACAGTAGCTGCTTATTTAAATCGCTTAGGATGTCAAAACATCTTTTCAACTCTACTTTAAATCCTTTTGAGTTTTATAAGAAATGTATTTTTCCAAATAATAATAATATTACTGTTCAGGTGAACTCCCTCCCTCCTTTTGATTTTTATTTTTTTAAAAAACACATTGATATGACCATAACTTCATTTTCAGAGCCACAAAAACATCTTCTGCTTCATTAGATGCCATTAATGGCTGTTGACAGCTCATTGCTTTCAAAATTCTCTTAATATTCAGCATGCCATTTCTCCCATCTACTTGATCCCTTGCAGCCCAGAAAATGGAGTTCAGGTTCCCCAAATGTCCATTATTTCCCCTGTGCTAAATATTTCCTAATGGTTAATTAAAATTCACAGGTGCCACCTCTCTCTCAATGCAACAAAAATTGCCCTTCTGGTACTAGGAGAAAAAAGAAGGAAGGGGAGAAGTTCTGCTGCTATGACTGTGCTCCGTGTTCAGAAGGCAAGATTTCACACCAGAAAGGTAGGAGACATTAGGTTGCTTTCAGATAACTCAGATTTCCTGTGAAGGGTCTGTGTCAATGTGAAAGGTGTCACAGTTGCTGTTAATGATGTAGTTCTGATTTCCTTAGAGATTGAAGTTCACAGACTTGGAGCTCTTCATTGCAACCAGCTGATGGCCCAGCAACGAGGGGCAGCATTTTCAAAGAGGTGCTTTGCAAGCCCAAATGATCAGATGATGGTTGGGGTTTACAAAGCACACTGTTACCTGCCCTACACCTAACATCAGAGATGACATCAGATACAGGGCCGGTAGGTGTAACTTGCTAAAATGGCCCCATGGGCCAGAGATTTTCTATCACTGGATTACCTGGGTGGTGATGGAGATGAGTTGCAGCAGTGCACCTGCAAAGCACAGGCCTCCTCTGTCCAGACCCACCACTTACTGTCCAGGCATGCGACTGTGAGATCATTGTCTGGGGGAGGGGGGTCCGAACCCTTTCTCCCCATGCTATTCACTCCTGTGTCTGAAAAGGATAGTCTCTTGCACATCCAACTGGTAAGTCCCATACTGCCAGGAGGATGCATACCTACTCTCAAGTTGCACCCTTAAAGGGAATCTTTTCTTCTTTTCAGACATGAATGACTGTGTTGGATGCTCAGAAGATCACTATCCAAACAGGAACCAAACACAATGCATTCCAAAGTTCATCAGCTTCTTGACTTTGGAAGAACCGCTTGGGATGAGCTTAGCTTTTGGCTCCGTATTCTCCTCTTTGCTGACCATATTGTCCCTCGCCATCTTTATGAAGCATCAGGACACACCGATTGTCAGGGCCAATAATCGGGACCTCACCTACGTTCTCCTCCTATCTCTCCTTCTCTGTTTTCTCTGTCCCCTCATCTTCCTCAGCCGACCAGACAGAGTGACCTGCCTTGTCCGACAAATTGCGTTTGGTATGGTTTTCACAGTGACTGTTTCTTGTGTGTTGGCCAAAACCATCACCGTTGTTCTGGCATTCATGGCCACCAAACCAGGATCCAGAATGAGGAAATGGGTGGGGAAAAGACTGGCAAGCGCCATTGTGTTGACTTGTACTATTATCCAAGCTGGTATTTGCACTGTGTGGCTGGGTACCTCTCCCCCGTTCCCCCATTTTGACAAGCACTCTGTGACGGGAGAAATTATTCTGGAATGTAATGAAGGGTCAGCTGCCATGTTTTACTGTGTCCTGGGCTACATGGGCCTCCTGGCCATTGTCAGTTTTGTTGTAGCATTTTTAGCCAGGAAACTACCTGACAGCTTTAATGAGGCCAAATTCATCACCTTCAGCATGTTGTTATTTTGTAGTGTTTGGATCTCCTTTGTTCCAGTCTACCTGAGCTCCAAGGGAAAACACATGGTGGCTGTGGAGATCTTCTCCATCTTGGTCTCCAGTGCTGGTTTACTGGGTTCCATCTTTTTCCCCAAATGCTACATTATCATATTGAGGCCTGATCTGAATGACAAACAGCAGTTAATAAAGAAGAAATAGCAAAGTACCCTATTGTCACTCTTTTCGGTTACCCCAGAACATGGGTAATGAATTTGCTGCCGACTCCTTGATATAATTTCATTTTATTTGTTTATTGAACTTGCTATGTGCATAAAAAACAACAACAGATGGTTCTCCCCCACCCCGAGATGTGGTCCCCACCTTTGGGAGCCCAAGGGTACATTTGGAAAACTAAGGAACTCTTGTGGACACAAAAAACCACCAATTTCACAGAAGAAAGTGTGGAGATGCTCAGAAACTCCACCTCCATCCTTTCTTGTAACATGAATCCATTGGTATGGTTCCTACTCTCTGTAGCAGGAGAAAAGCTTGCTGCATCTTCCATGTGACAGCCCTTGAGGTATTTGAAGATCGGTATCATATCTCCTCTCAGTCTCCTTTTTCTAGGCTAAACATACCCTGCTCCCTCAACCATTGCTCATAAGGCTTGGTTTCCCACCCATCATCTTCCTGGTTGCCCTCTTCTGCACATGTTCAACGTACATTTTACCAGCTTCCTCATGAAAATATCATGGTGGACTTTGCCAAAACTCTGACTGGAATAAAAATAGACTATGACCACATCCTGATACACCACATTTGTAATGCCTTTTTGCTCCTCACACCACCCAGGGCGTCAGGAGGATGTAATGGGCATGTGCCCTTCCTGCTGCGTCCTCCTCATGTCACCCACCCAGCCTTTCATGGATGCTTTAGTTGTGATCCCTGCATTGCAGGAGGTCTACCTTGATGACCTGTGATGGGCCCTTCCAATTCTTCAATTCTCTGTTTATTTAGCTGAATATATATGGGCCCTGAAAAGGCCTGCAGACAGGGCCCAATGGACCGTATGTCCATCATCACACTCATGCCTTGAAGTCACTCAGAGTCTGCTCACAATTTTTCCTTTCCAGTCAAACTCTACCAGTGGCTAGAATTCATCTTGGCCCCATGGGTTTACCGGCCCCATGCCTGGCCTCACATAACATCAGCTGATGGACATGTGAATGTGGTTTGGACCATGAGCCCAATGGAGAGGCTTGGTTGGCCTAACTGCTGCAGTTCAGAGGTCCTTGTTGATTCCCAGCAAGGAGTTTTCTCTACCTGTGTAGATTCTCTTGCGTGATTGACAACTTTTAGGGTTCTGGATTGTTTAAGAAAGTACAGCATGTAGAGAAAGCTGCAGAGGCTCTCTTCTGAGAACACAGTAGGTGATGAAACTGGCAGCAGGGATGCAATGGAGGGGAAGGGGCAACAGGCTTGTTCCTGCTCCCCCCTCAGTACAATGCCTTGAAAACACTTGAAGGAGGCTGCTGAGGGATTATTTTGTGTGGATCATTGCTGCTTCACAGAGGATGTTGTCTTTGATTCTTCCAATGGACCAGCTGAGGCAAAGGGATCATTATTCTCTCCCCTGTTATTATCAATTACATGGTAATAATCTGCTTCTGATTAGACCTCCATAGACTTCCAGAATCCAGTCTAAAAAGAATTAAAACCCTCTCTGCCATCCCCAGCAAATGCTAAGGTGCTGCTGACTCGTTTAGTGAGCTTTCCCCTGGAGTTGGATCCTAGGTCTTGGGAATTTAGCTGGTGCATTCGGAGAGTGCCATTTAAGGCAAGCTGCTGTACTGAGGCTGTTTCTAATGCCAATGCTGATTAGCTGTAAACAGGGAAATCTCTGTCTAGGAAAAAGTATTTTTTCTAGTATGGCAGTGTTGATGCTGTTAATCTTCTCACTGCCTCAAATGGTGAATCTGTCAAATGTCAATCGTAGCATCAGTCACCTCCATATCCCACACAAGTACTATCAGCCAGGTGAGCTAATCATTGGTGCACTTGCTTCTCACATCCTGTCCTCTGTTGACTATGAATCCTTCATACAATGGCCATCCATCCATCAGATTCTTAATTCATTGTAAGTATTGCAAATTTGCAATTCCCATATTATATTAATACCTAAGTTACCATGTGGGCTTAGAAATACTTCCTATTTATTTTTGCTATGGGGATTTATTACTTATAGGGAGGGGTGCAAAATATGCCCTCCTCCCACACAACATAGGATCAGTCTTAGACTTAACCCTCCCCTCCACCTGAATTTTAACATCTAAAATGATCAAGCCAGCCAATAAATTTCTAGTCAAGCCTGTAGGAACGAGGAGAATAATCTAGGATCCAACTTGGAAGCAAAGAAAGATTAGTTTTCCAGTGAGATACCACATTATGTTCTGGGTGGTGTGTTTCTCTCTCACCCCCAAGCTCCCCCACCACATTTTCCAGAAGAAGAAGAAGTGTTTGGATTTGATATCCCGCTGTACCACTATCCTAAGGAGTCTCAAAGCGGCTAATAATCTCCTTTCCCTTTCTCCCCCATAACAAACACTCTGTGAGGTGAGTGAGGCTGAGAGACTTCAGAGAAGTGTGACTAGCCCAAAGTCGCCCAGTAGCTGCATGTAGAGGAACGGAGAATCGAACCTGGTTCACCAGATTACGAGTCCACTGCTCTTAAGCACTATACCACACTGGCTTAATGGAGAGGAGGAGCCATGGCCACGACCAGTAACATGGGTACAATAATGTAGAGAGCACAGCATTCTGATGTCAACAGGAAATGGGTGAATGGCCAGTAGGAACCATTGGTCTACCTAGCTCAGGCCTGTCTACACAGAGTAGCAGTGGCTCTCCAGGATTTCAGACAGGGGTCTCCCCCAGCTCCACCTGTGTGCTAAGCAGATGCTCTACCATTGGTTTTTTCAGAATCTTTACCGCCGACCATCTGATTGGCAAGTCCTAGGCTCTGATTTAACCCACAGCGCCACCCGCGTCCCACCCAAAAGTACGCAGAGTAATTGTCAAAACATAACAGGCAACAGAAGGTTCCCTGATATCGCTAGTTTCATTTTTCTCTACACAAAGGCACCGAGTATGGGAAACAAGCAAGATGAATGGGAGCTTTTAATACAGGATGGCAAATATGACCTAGTAGGTTAGTAGGCATTACTGAAACCTGGTGGGATGAGACTCATGACTGAACTGTAGGACTTGAGGGGTAATCTGTTTTAAAGCTGTAGACCAAACAGAGGAGGAGCATTATATGTAAAGGATGTGTACACTTGTGAATAAATCCATGACCTGGAGCATGGAAAACAGATTGAAAGTATATGGTTAAAATCGAAGGAGGGAGAAATAACAGTGACCTCCAAGCCAGACTGAAGACTTGGATGATGCCTTCCTAGAGTAGATTATGAAACATTCCAAAAGAAGAGATATAGTGGTCATAGAAGACCTCAACTTCCCCAATATCTGTTGGAACTCAAACTCTGCCAAGATTGTAAGGTCCGACGAATTGCTCCATTGCATCGTGATTCAAGATTACTTTAGCAGATTGGAGAATTGGGTTAACAAAATGAATTTCAATAGGGACAAATGTAAGCTTCTGCACTTAGGCAGGAAGTACCTACTTCACAAATATAAGCTGAAGGACACCTGGCTTACTAGGATCTAGCCATCTTAGTGGAACTCAAGCTTCACTTGAGTCAAAGGTGTGATGCAGTTTTTTCTGTGTGTGTGTTTGAGTCAATTCTTTATTGGTTTAATTTAATCTGCCTGTAAGCTGCCTTGTTGCTCCCTAGCACAGAAAGGCAGGGAACCTAAATTTCCTTAAACAGATTGACCAAAAATGGTACACAGCAAAATGCTTTGATGTCCAACTCTCATTGCAGTGTTGTACCAAAATACTATCAGCAAATTCTGGCCTTGGTGTTTGCAGTCAAGGAAATCAACAAGAATTTCAATCTATTACCTAATGTCACATTAGGATTCCACATCTTTGATAGTTACTACAGTGAAAGGATGACCTACTGGGCCACTTTGGAGCTGCTCTCTACACACTACAGATTCGTACCCAACTACCAGTGTGACAAACAGAAATATCTGATGGCCGTCATTGGGGGACTTGACTTTGAGGTTTCCCTCCACATGGCAGCCATCTTAGGTGTCTACAAGATTCCCCAGGTAAGAGTCAAACATGGTGACCTCCCCTCATTCTTCTTTCATCTGTCCTGTTGAGAAAAGTTTTGCATTCCATAATATCTCACTTGACAATCTTAAATTGTATTCAATAAAAGCTTTCATCCACCTTCATCCATTTCCCAACGTGTCCATGTTCTTCAGAGGATATGAATGGAGCATTTTGCAGATACAGTTGTACACAGTCTATGTATGCGAACAGCTTGGTCTGCCGGCCTCAGGTAGATTCCAAGCAGGATGAATTATGGAGGCCGCTCCTCAGTCGCTTGTACATTACCTTAATTAATTTGACCTAGACAGTTTAGGGCTGTCAGGGATGACATCAACAGCTCACTGGTTATCTACCTAGTGAAATCAGAGATGCAGAGAAAGCCTTTCAATGGTTTCATTTTAATCCACAGACATGGAAGTACACTCTCACTCTTGATCTGCCACCCAACTAGCCATTGCTTCCTAGAAATCAGACCCCTCCTGCTGCCTATGGTGGCTGCTAAGATCAATTCTCTTTTGGGTTCTGCTCTGAGACACACAGAACACATCTGGTCCTTTGGGAAGGAGGGGGCTCTGGCAAACTCTTCAGTGACAGCATGTCAGGTGGCTGCTGTACTGTTTCTAATGCATCTGACTCCTGTCTCTGTTTACTGCTACATTGCCCTGGTTCTTCATCACCTATTGTTTCCCAGGTCCTTTTTCCTTCTTGGGTGTGACCCATCTCAAACCACCACACCATACTCTCCCCCCTTCCTTCTTTCTGGAAGGTTCTTAGGGTGCTGCTCTCCACCACTCCTCCTCATCTGCCCATTCCCTGACTGGCTTACTAAGACAGTGGGTCCAAAGCACAATGGTTTCATCACTGCTATCCACACATAATGTTTCTACTGCATTAATGGGAATTAAGTATCCATTTCCTTCTAGCTCACTTATGGCTCCTTTGCTCCAGAGGATGCTGGTCAAAGCCAATCCACTCC